CTTGTCCATCAGTCTATGGATGAAAAGCTGTGCTGATATTCACCTAAGTTCCTAGACCTCTCTGAAATGACTTCCAAAAATGTGCTGTAAACTGGGCCCCACGGTCAGATATAATAGATATTGGTACTCCGTGTAGTCGCACTATCTCTTTAATATATAACTTTTCATAATCTTCTACTGTATATGTAGATCTGACCGGTAGGAAATTTGCTGATTTCGTGAGCCTATCGACTATTACCCATATGGAATCGAACTTACGATGAGAATGAGGTAAACCCGTGACACAGTCCATGTTTATTGCCTCCCATTTTTATGTCAGGATCTCTATAGTCTGCATTAGCCCTCCAGGCTTCTGGTGCTCTATCTTTACCTGCTGGCAACTAGGACACTGAGCGACAAACTCAGCAATGTTGTTCTTCATATCGTTCCACTAGTACACCTCCTTAATGTCATGATACATCTTCGTTGACCAAGGGTGGATGGAGTACCACAAATAATGTGCCTCTCACATAATCTTGTCTCGTAGCCCTGCTACATCTGGAACAAACAAGCAACCCCTGTATCTAAGAACTCCATCTTCCTTGAGTTCTAACAACGGCTTCTTCTGCTGCGGAACTCGCTCTCTCAACTTGACCAACTCCAGGTCATCGTACTGCCTCTCCTTTACTTCAGCTATGAAAGATGATTTTCCAGTATTCTGGAGTACAACTCCACCATTGCTAGAGTCTACTAATCGAATCCCCAAATGAGCCAGTTGATGAATCTCTCTAGTTAATTGCCTTTTTTTCGGCCTCCACGCGTGCTAAGCTACCTATAGATCGGCGACTTAAGGCGTCTGCGACAACATTAGCTTTCCCCGGATGGTAGAGAATGTTAACATCATAATCTTTCAATAACTCAAGCCATCGCCTCTGTCGCAAATTCAACTCTTTTTGCTTGAAGATATATTGCAGGCTTTTATGATCTGTGAATACATCAACATGAACACTATATAACTAATGCTTCCATATCTTAAGTGCATGGACAACCGCAGCTAACTCAAGGTCGTGGGTCGGATAATTTCTCTCATGCTTCCTTAACTGCCATGAAGCATACGTAATTACTTTCCCATGTTGCATCAGGACACAACCCAATCCAATGCCTTAAGCGTCACAATAGATAACATAACCATCGGTCCCTTCCGGGAGCGTTAGAACCGGTGCTGAAGTTAATCTATCCTTCAATGCCTGGAAACTCCGTTCGCAAGCATCAGTCCATTGAAACTTGGCTTCCTTCTGAGTTAACTTACATGAGTATTCTAATCTTTCATAATTCATGAAATTCCCTTCTTCGAAGGCCCAAACTTCATCCTTTATCTATCACAATTACGCCCATATTCCAATACCAGGGCAGCATTTAATCTATTCCTAATGTTAGTAGTCTTAGACTCCTTTGAGTTCATTCAGGTTATACTGAGCCCTCTATAACTTAGAGAAACTATCAGCTCTCTCATGAGCTTAACCCCAAGGACTTATCCATTCTCACCACCTTTTCACTCATCTTTTCTTATCCTTGTCTTCCTAAAACCTTGTCAAAAGTGCTGAAAGGGAAGAAAATCCCTCTACAAAGCCCCTGTAATAACCTGCCAAACCGAGAAAGCTATGAACCTCCATCGGTGTTGTCGGTCCAGGCCAAGTCTTTATTGCCTCCATCTTTTGTGTATCCACCGGATGCCTTCACCCGAAATGATATGCCCAAGGAAAGCTAAAGAGTTCAACCAGAATTCACATTTGGAGAATTTTGCATACAACTTCCCTTTTTGTAGAGTTCTGAGCACAGATGCAAATGATCTGCATGTTCAGCCTCTGAACGAGAATACACCAATATATCATCGATAAATACAATTATGAAGAGATCCAAAAAGGGTCCGAACACACAATTCATCAAATCCATGAATTATGTTGGGCATTGGTCAAACCGAACGACATAACACAAAACTCAAAGTTCTCATAACTGGTTCAGAGTGCTATCTTCCGGATATCTTCCCCCTTAACCCTTACCTGATGGCACCCGCACCTCAAGTCTTTCTTTGAAAAACACTTGGCACCTTGCAACTGATCAAATGAATCATCAATCCTCGGGAGCGGGGTACTTATTCTTGATCGTCACCTTATTCTACTGTCTATAATCAATACATATCCGTAAGGAACCATCTTTCTTCCTCACAAATAACACAGGTGCCCCCCATGGTGATGTACTAGGTCTAATAAAGCCTTTTTCAAGCAAATCCTGTAGTTGTTCCTTCAACTCTTTTAGTTCTACGGGGGCCATGCTATAGGGAGGAATAGATATTGGATGTGTATCTTGTAGTAGGTCAATAGAAACTCAATTTCTCGCTCTGGCAAAAAACCCTAAAGTTCATCGGGAAAAACATTGGGAAACTCACTAACCACAGGGAATGATTCAATGGTTGGTAACTCTACTTCCACATCCCAAACCCGAACTCAGTGATAAATATGGTCCTTTCTGATCATCTTCGTTGCCTTGATATAGTAGATAAATTTACCTCTTAGTGATGCCGTGTTACCTTTCCATTCTAAAACAGGCGCTCCTGGGACTGAAATCAAACCATCTTTGATATACACTTAATGTTAGCATAACAAGAGGCCAACCAATCCATACACATTATAATATCAATTCTACCCAACCAAGCGCCACGTACCTTATCCTTATTTATTATCAAACTTATCACGGGCCATTACGGGTACCTCTATATATATACGTAACAATATTCGGACGTAACTTCGCAGAACTCATCCAAAAAAAAGAGGTATATATGGATACATAAAGGCCGACAAGGCCGTAGACATGACATACCCAAAACTATATAAAGAATACTATCTGCAGAACCTTAGAGAAAAACATAACCATAATATATACAAGTCGAGACGGGGCTCCCTACGTCCTCGTAAAACAACCTAACACATTTAGAATCCTGACTTGGTAGTACTCCCTGAATAGGTGGAACTCACCAACCAAAAGCTAACATCTGGAGGAAGTCTACAGCAGAGGGTCCTTGCCTCGTTCTATATGAGAGCATCGATCAGACACACTTCGAAGAGGAACCTTCATATCCTTATCAGTTACCTTCCTCCTCTTGGCCCGACTACTATCCTCTTCCTCAGCGTATCCTATAACATACACAGATGAACCTTGATTGACGGATTCCCAAGACTGTGGACTATCTGGAACCTCAGAAGAGCTGGTGTCCGCAAATACCCTAACATAGTTTTAAACCTGAGGGAAACCCGGTTGCCCCAATCCACGCACTACTCCCCTCATACCCTGATCAATGGTGTGGGATAATGAAACTAAGGGCCTTGGTGAGGTCGAAACTCCTCTCACCCCATATGCTGCCGGAGTGGTCGAAACAGCTCGAACGGATGACTCATATGGATCCTCGGATGGATCCTCCTCAATAAAATCCACGATCTCCGATGGGTCTGACTCCATAGTGTAACTCATATCTCTTTCTAACACTTTCGTAGCCTTCTGACCCGTACTAGCGGCTATAGTCTTCAGAGGCATCGCTAAAAATGTAACATATCGTTAAGTACATGAATTCTTATATAGCACCATCTAAGATAAAAAGTGAGGATAACATCCTATATGTCATGTAGCCTCCTGTCTATAAGTGTGGTGCACAACACACCCATAAATAAGACTCTACTAGACACGGTCTGTAGACAATCCTAGGACAAAACTGCTCTGATACCACTTTTGTCACGACCCAAACCGATGGGCTGCGACGAGTGCCTGAGTCCTACCTGTCAAACACCCCTAAGCATGCGTCTAATATATAAACCTAAATAATATCTGCTAAATTACGAGAATAATATACATGAAGGAAACCTGCCCAAAAAGGAATATGTATATATACGTACAACATACGTGGGACGAGCCGACAAGGCTGGTATAGACAACTATGTACCTCAAAACTGGAAGCCGGCAAGGCCACATGCTATCCAACTAGACATACTGTCTACAGACCTCTAATAGAAATATAACTGTACAAAGACGGGACTAAGCCACGTCATACCCATATATATACAAACATATCGTACCAAAATCAAAAGCAGCTCCGGATCAAGTGGAGCACGCAAACTAACGCTGATCAAGTATCCTAAGAAGGGGGACCATCAGCTTGCCTACCTCCACCTGCGGGCATGAAACGCAGGCCCCGTGAAATACGGCGTCAGTACGAAAAATATACTAAGTATGTAAGGCACAAAAATCAGTACGTAAAAAACATAGATGAAATATGGAATAAGGAAATCCATCTGTAAATCTGATAACTTTGTAAATTCTGAAACATTTATAATGTCATGCACGTGCATATAAATGTCGTGTCATGCATATGTATAGGTGTACATAATATCATCAAGCCTCTGAGGCATCCCGTCATATCGTCTCGGCCACTGTGGGCAACATCATCAACATATGCCAACTGATCAGGTGGTGGTGCGTATAT